TAGTGTCCTTAAGACAGCTCAGGTCATATGAGGCCATTAGTCACAGAAGGACTGCAGTATAAACTCAATGCTAAAGCAGTTAATGGTTCCTCTTTTGGTAAAATGTGGCTGTTAAAAAACAGAACTGGGTGTCTGGCCAAAAGATGAAACTCATGACTAAGGGGTATAGAGGCTAAATGTCTGTTAGAAATGTGTGTGTAATAATGAGTATGTGTTAATAGTAAGAGAAAAATTTCAAAATCTGCCAACCAAATCGTTGCCAAACAATTTCTTCACCACGGTGTGTAATAACATGCCTTAAAATGTTGACGTTCAACTCCCGTGGGAAACCCTGCAAAAACCTGCTCAAGTTAGGGTACTAATAAACGATTGTCAAAAAATAAATTTTTTAAAAATCGGGCCTTAAGTATCTTATGAGAGGTCAAATCAGGGTTTTTTTCATGATTCTGAGTTGATTGTTATTATTTGTATTTCACCACAAACACTCCATTGTTGAAAAAAGGCCACACTCACTTTACATTTACATTCACAGCAGCTTTTATTTCACATACTTATACACTGCTCAAAGAAATAAAGGGAACACTAAAATAACACATTCTAGATCTCAATGAATGAAATATTCCCCTTGAAAAGCTTTATTCATTACATCGTGAAATGCATTGAGAACAAAACAACATAAAAATGATCAATGTAACTCTAAATTATTATCCTATGGAGGTCTGGATTTGGAATCATACTCAAAATAAAAGTGGAAAATCACATCACAGGCTGATCCAACTTCAGTGGAAATTCCTCACAAGTCAGAATGAGACTCAGTAGTGTGTGACCTCCACGTGCCTGTAGGACCTCCCTACAACGCCTGGGCATGCTCCTGATGAGGCAGGATGTTCTCCTGAGGGATCTCCTTCCAGACCTGGAATAAAGCATCATCAACTCCTGGACAGTCTGTGGTGCAACATGGCATTGGTGGATGGAACGAGACATGATGTCCCAGATGTGCTCAGTTGGATTCAGGTGTAGGGAACGGGCAGGCCAGTCCATAGCATCAATGCCTTCATCATGCAGGAACTGCTGACACACTTCAGCCACATGAGGCCGAATATTGTCATGCATCAGAAGGAACCCAGGGCCCAGTGCACCAGCATATGGTCTCACAGTGGGTCATGGTACCTAATGGCAGTCAGGCTACCTCTGGCTAGCCCATGGAGGGCTGTGCGGCCCTCCAAAGAAATGCCTCCCCACACCATTACTGACCCACCGCCAAACCAGTCATACTGGAGGATGCTGCAGGCAGCAGAACGTTCTCCAGTGTGAACCTGCTCTCATTCGTGAAGAGCACAGGGTGCCAATGGCCAATCTGCCAGTCTTGGTGTTCTCTGGCAAATGCCAGTCACCCTGCATGGTGCTGGGCTGTAAGCACAGCCCCACTGGTGGACGTCAGGCATTCATACCACCTCATGGAGTCTGTTTCAGACAGTCTGAGCAGAAACATGCATATTAGTGGCCTGCTGGAGGTCATTCTGCAGGACTCTGGCAGTGCTGCTCCTGTTCAAAGGAGGAGGTAGCATCCTGCTGCTGGGTTGTTGCCCTCCTACAGCCCCCTCCATGTCTCCTGGTATACTGGCCTGTCTCCTGGTATCTCCTCCATGCTCTGACACTGTGCTGAAAGACACAGCAAACCTTCTTGCCACAGCTTGCATTGATGTGCCATCATGGATGAGCTGCACTACCTGAGCAACTTCTGTGGGTTGTTGACACCGCCTCATGCTACCTCTAGGGCTGAGAGCACTGACAAAATGAGAAAGTGACCAAAACATCAGCCAGAAAAGATGAGAACAGAGACATGGTCTGTGGTCACCACCTGCAGAACCACTCCTTTATAGGGGTTGTCTTGGTAATTGCCTCTAATTTCCACCTGTTGTCTGCTCCATTTGCACAACAGCAGGTGAAATTGATTCACAATCAGTGTTGCTTCCTAACAGGACAGGTTGATTTCACAGAAGTGTGACTGACTTGGAGTTGCATTGTGTTGTTTAGATGGTCCCTTTATTTTTTTGAGCAGTGTATAATACTCAGTTATTTCTCATTCACAATATCAGAAGCTTCAAGAGTCATTTTCTATGCCTTCTTCAGACTCAACAACATCGTGACTGCAGTTTGAGAGCCACCTTGCAGCCCTTCTTGAGAACATGTTGTACCAAATTTCACCCAATGTAGTATGTGCTCCATGATAAATGTACTGGAAAATCGCAGCCTGAATCATTACCTCCTTGGTGGCTTCTTTGTCAAGGAAGATGTCCATGTACTCATCCATGTCCCCTGCACAAAACATGTGCAGAAAACATGAGCAGGGGACATGGATGAATACATGGACATCTCCAGCTGCATTCATTTTCCTCTAAAATCCGATTTCATATGAGAAATACTAAAATACATCAATCGCTAATGTCAAAAAATGTAATCAATTTAGTGGCAAACTCGATTTTTTAAAATCAAGTTGGCATAAAAACCTGACCTGATATGGAAAGCTAATACACACAGCCCTGGCACACCTGGACACTAGGAAGGGGAATTATGTGCGAATGCTGTTCGTGGACTTCAGTTCAGCGTTCAACACCATAATTCCCTCCAGACTGGTCACTAAGTTGCAGGACCTCGGACTCTCCTCCGCCCTGTGCAGGTGCATCTACAGCTTTTTGACCAGCAGACCACAGGTGAGTGGGCAATCACCTGTCCCCCTCACGCACCCTGAACATCGGTGTCCCCCAGGGCTGTGTGCTCAGCCCTCTGCTATCCTCACTGTACACCAATGACTGCCTGTCCACATCAGGCTCAAACGCCATCATTAAGTTTGCTGATGACACAGCAGTGGTGGGTCTGATCTCCAACAGCAACAAGGAGGACTATTTAATGGAGATCACCCACCTGGAGGACTGGTGCAGAGACAACAGTTTCCTCCTGATCGTCAGCAAGACCAAAGAGCTGATTGTTGACTACAGCAAGCAGCAGCAGAGGGTATACCACCCACTCAGGATTGGCGGGACAGAGGTGGAATGAGTGGAGAGGTTCAAGTACCAGGGTGTCAACATCACGCAGGACCTGACGTGGTCCTGTTACATCAACGCCCTGGTGAAGAAGGCTCGACAGCGTCTCTACCTCCTCCGACACCTGAGGGACTTCAAGTTCTCTCTCAAGGTGCTCAGGAGCTTCTACACCTGCGCCATTGACAGTGTTTTGGCTGGGAGCATCACCACCTGGATAGGCAACAGCACCCAGCAGGACTTCTTGGCCCTGAGGAGGGTGGTCCCCTCGGCTGAGCGCACCATCAGAACCACTCTCCCCAACCTGCAGGACATTTACACCAAATGATGCAGGTTAAAGGTCAGGAAGATTGTGAGTGAGCCCACCCACCCCAGCCACAGACTGTTCTCTCTGCTGTCATCAGGGCGGCGATACCACTGCCTGAAGGCAAACACAGAGAGGATGAGGAGGAGCTTCTTCCCTCAGGCTGTCCGCCTGCTGAACCTGAAACAATAGACTTAATAGACAATCAAACTGGTCACTTTGCACTTTTCACCTTGTATATATACACATATATATAGTATTATTATTATTTTTATTATTTTCTCTATTTGTTTATTCCCTTTTTGCACTGTTTGGAAATTTGATTTATTTATTTCTGATATTTCAATCTCTCTCTCTCTCTCTCTCTCTCTCTCTCCCTATATATATATATGTATATATATATATATATATATATATATATATATATATATATATATATATATATATATATATATATTTATTTCTTGTGTGTTCTATTCCTTATTCTTCTTTATCTTTATTTATCTATTATTATTGTTTCGGTGTGGAATAGGTACACAATGCATTTCACTGCCTGTGCCATATATAACAGTGTTTGTGACCAATAAAAGACCTTGAACCTTAAACTTTGAAGGCAGATGTTATTTTTGGATTCGGCGTTGCAGAAGTGTCCTGGATCAGTTGGAAAATCCTAGACCCCTTTATTGTAGCCCGGTGTAATCAATTGGTTTAATCATATGCTGAAATATTTTTGAATGAATAATCAAGAGCTATTGCTTTGCCCCTGCTAAAGATTTGCCATACATATATAATTTTACATTTAAAGTTTATTTGGTTTTAAATTTTATGAAGTCATTTACAGTATCTGATGGTAGTGAAAAGTTAGGCAATCGTGTGCATAAGATCTTTTAGTGGTTCTTAATGGTAATTCTAAGTCACAAGTAAAATAGTATTTTTAAACATATCCCTGGGGTTAGTTGTCCAAACCTCTAAATCTAACCTAGCAACTTACCAAGTGCTTGTTCCATTTAAGAGGAAAGCTGCCACTGACAGGTGTGTCTTGTAGAGTGATTTGACTACTGAGGCTACTTAGTTGAGTCAACTATTAGCGGAAGCGGGGTAGGCGTCTGGATTAAGGCAGTTAGAAGCTATAGGCACGTTTCCTTGACACCAGCTTAAGCAGTTCTAAAGAATCTTTGTAGGTCAAGGACCTGTAGGCAGGTAGAACCTAACCCTAGTAACGGAGAGCTGGGCCAGTAACCCTGTTACAGGGGTTATACTGGTGCGGAATAACAATGACATCTATGAAATGTATTCATGCATGTATGCACCTCACACTGTCATACATGGAGCATGTTAAATTGTCAGAACACAGGTTGAAACAAGTATATTTCAAGGATACAGTGTCAGTATGTGGGCTGATGACCTAGTGACTCATACCTTTTTAAATTGAATGGCATTATAAACTCTAGTTGTATTTCCCATTGCCGCCAATGAATAGGTTTCAGTATTGCTCAGAGCTGTAATGTTGTCTGAAGCACAGATACTGCAGAGTCCAGGAAGTGACAGTGAAAATATTCAACTGTAAAATCTAAAGCCTGACAGACAAAAACATGTCAGGCTCCTCCTCTCTGTGTTTTTCAACTCTCTCAGCTCCCTCAGCGTGTCTCTGTTCTTCAGAATCTCTTTCCCTCACATTAGGATCGTGACACTGGTCTGTCCAGAGGTCTGAATTCAACCAAACAGACTAACAGATTCTTCTCCTGGACTCCATTTAAATATATAAGGTGTAACAGTGGTGTTTCTGCTCCAGGTTCCAGTTTCTGGAGGAAATCTGAGTGAGTAGCTGCTAACTTTTGGAGTTTGATCTCTTTGAGTTTTCTCTGAAAAAAAAAACACAGAAAACAAAAGACTAACCAGTGTGAAAACAGAACAAGAAGTACATTCTTCTATAGTCTTCTGATGCATGTGATGTATTCTTAATGTCAGATATGATTTTATACCATATTGTTTGCTCTAAATATATATGTATAAACATATTCTGTTGTCCAAGATCATAGTGCGCTAATTTGTACACTTTTTCTTTCTATTCAAGGACCAACATGGACGATCCATTTGATTCATATCCAGAAGAAATTAAAGAATGTAAACAAGCACTGATGAACAATGATCGTGCTACAGCAGCTGCAAAGATTCAAGAATATTTAGAAAAACAAGATAATATTCCCCTAAATATTGCCGTCACAGGAGAATCTGGCTCTGGTAAATCCACCTTTGTTAATGCCATTAGAGTCATAAAAAACAGCGATGATGGAGCTGCTCCTACTGGCTGTGTAGAAACCACCATGGAGGTCACACCATATCCTCATCCAAACTATCCCAATGTTACCTTTTGGGATCTTCCTGGAATTGGCTCCACCAACTTTCCAGCTGATCAGTACCTGAAGCATGTTGAATTTGAGAAGTTTGACTTCTTCATCATCATCTCAGCTGATCGCTTCAGAGAAAATGATGTGAAACTGGCTCAGGAGATTCAGAAGATGAAGAAGAAGTTCTACTTTGTTCGCTCAAAGATTGACCACAACATACAGGATGAGAAAAGAAGTCAGAAGAACTTCAGTGCAGAGACGACTCTTAAACATATAAGAGACAGCTGCATTCAAGGTAGGTGTCTTCTTATTATTGTAATATTTCTGTTCTCAAGAGTGTGGAAACTTTTCACAGATAACAAACTAGAGCTTTATTTATATGTTTTCTCTACTCACATTTAAAGTAACCCTACAGATTACCAAATGACAAGATTAAAATTAAACACAAGGATGTAATGGAATCTGTCTGGTGCACGTGAAAAACCTGAGACACTTCAGATCTTTATAATATCTCAACTTTAGAAATGAGTTGAGGTTTTACTGAGCCAGAGTGATGTATGATGGATCATTGGTAGGATTCTTTAATGCATCAGAAAATACAACAAATGATTTCAACATTGAAACAATTCAACATTTTACATCTTAGTCACTGTACCTTTACATTGAGCTGTTGTTGCCTAATTTCCAAGTTTTTTTGTTTTTCTGCTTTGGTCCTCCTCATTACAAACTAGTGTTAAAGTCGTCATATAATTTTCACAATGATAAAATTACTCTATGAATCATGTTGTATTCCCTCTTCATCACAGGTCTTCAACAACAAGGTTTTGAGGCTCCACAGGTCTTCCTGGTGTCCAGCTTTGACCTCCACCTGTATGATTTCTCTCTCCTCCATGAGACCTTAGAGAGAGAACTTCCTGCANGGAAAGTTTCTATCTTCCTGAACCTCACACCAGCATGTGTTGATTTATGACATATATGAAATGTATTCATGCATGTACGTACATCACACTGTCATACATGGAGCATGTTAAGTTTTCAGGACACCAGGTGGAAACAAACATATTTCAAGGATACAGTGTCAGTATGTGGGCTGAAGGCCTAGTGACTCATACCTTTTTAAAATAAATGACATTATAAACTCTAGTTGTCTTTTCCATTGCCACCAATAAATAGGTTTCAATATTGGTCAGAGCTGTTATGTCCTCTGAACCACAGATACTGCAGATTCCAGGAAGTGACAGTGAAAATATTTGACTGTAAAATGAAAAGCCTGACAGACAAAAACATATCAGGCTCCTCCTCTTTTTTCTTTTTTTTGTAAACTCCCTCACAGTGTCTCTGTGCTTCAGAATCTCTTTCCCTCACATTAGGATCGTGACACTGGTCTGTCCAGAGGTCTGAATTCAACCCAACAGACTAACAGATTCTTCTCCTGGACTCCATTTAAATATATAAGGTGTAACAGTGGTGTTTCTGCTCCAGGGTCCAGCTTCTGGAGGAAACCTGAGTGAGTAGCTGCTAACATTTGGACTTTGATCTCTTTGAGTTTTCTCAGAAAAATAAAATAAAATTTAACATAAAAAACAAAAAAACACTAACCAGTGTGGAGAAAAATGGAACAAGAAGTAATTTCTTCTAGAGTCTTCTGATGTATGTGATGTATTCTTAATGTCAGATATGATTTTATATCATATTGTTTGCTCTGAGTATATATGTATAAACATATTCTGTAGTCCAAGATCAAAGTGATTTTGTACTCTAATTTGTACACTTTTTTTTTTCTATTCAAGGACCAACATGGACGATTCATTTGACTCACATTCAGAAGAAATCAAAGAATGTAAAGAAGCACTGATGAACAATGATCATGCTGCTGCAGCTGCAAAGATTCAAGAATATTTAGAAAACGAAGATAATGTTCCCCTAAATATTGCCATCACAGGAGAATGTGGCTCTGGTAAATCCACCTTTGTTAATGCCATTAGAGGCATAGATCATGATGATGATGGAGCTGCTCCTACTGGCTGTGTAGAAACCACCATGGAGGTCACTGCATATCCTCATCCAAAGTATCCCAAAGTTACCTTTTGGGAACTTCCTGGAATTGGCACCACCAACTTTCCAGCTGATCAGTACATGAAGCATGTTAAATTTGAGAGGTTTGACTTCTTCATCATCATCTCAGCTGATCGCTTCAGAGAAAATTATGTGAAACTGGCTCAGGAGATTCAGAAGATGAAGAAAAAGTTCTACTTTGTTCGCTCAAAGATTGACCATAACATACAGGATGAGAAAAGAAGCAAGAAGAACTTCAACGCAGAGACGACTCTGACACGTATAAGAGACGACTGCATTCAAGGTAGGTGTATTATTCTATTGGTACTACTCCTGTTCTCAAGAGTGTGGTTTCAACAAAAGAACATAAGATTTTATTAAATGACAGATTGACAAAACTTTTCGGGGGGGGNCTCCCCCAGCTGGGGCAAGTAAGAGGAAGAAGTGTCAGATCTGCCCACCTAAGAAGGACTGTAAAACATAGACTGTGTGCTGCAGGTGTAAGAAATGTATCTGAAGGCAGGGCAGTTTGACCTGGAGGACATGGGGTGTATACAGAATATGAGGACAATGAGAGAGTTAAACATTTCCGTGTTGTGCTGTAACTGTGACTTGTAAACTCTTTTAGTCATAAGGACCAATGTTCTTCCAAATGAGTGCTTTAACTTCTGATACTGATTCTGATCAATTACTATCACTTTAACATGTTTACTGAAGTAGCAGTTGAAATGCAGGACCTTTAGTTTTTCCTCAATAAATGACTAAAATACTTAAAGTGTATTTTCTTTTGTTATCTTTCATGTGGAACTCAAAATCCATTTCTCTCTGTCCCATATGGTAGAAAAAGTACAACAGGTAAAAATAAAATTCATTGCTTACCACAATTACCACCTGCCAACAGCCATCACCTTAAAAAACAAATCTGACTGACTGAATGATTGTTGTTGTTGTTGTATAGAATATATGCTATATTGATTTAAAAAAAAAAAAAAGAAAAAGAAAAAGTCAGCTTTTACAAGATTGAATTTCCCTTCTGGGATAAGTATTTTTCATTTAATTTCATTTTCATTTCATTTCATTCATTCATTTCAACTGTCCTTATCTGTGGGCTAGGATGCTCTAATGGAAGCACACAGTACTTTACATAGAACACACAAATATTTACAAGGCCCTGGGTTTAACCACCTCACTGTGGTGGATAGAAATATGCAGCATTAATTCATGATGCAGGTGAGCCTCTGAATTATGTTTGTGAGAGCAATATCATTTTTATTTTGTTAATCTGATGGTTTCTGTCTAATACTTCATGCCCAGCATCATCCAGACATGGCTTGTGATAAAACTGAGACTTGTCCAGCTAACAGCCTCCAAAGATGCAAGCATCTGTAGAATGAGTGCACTTATGTGTACTGGGAAACCTGTCACAGTGTAAAGGTACATTCCACCTGACCTCTCCCAGTTGTCATATAGGAAGGAACACTGACACATTTTTATTACACTGCACATCCATTTTCTGCCATTGATTCTAGAACCAGGGTGCACAGGAACAGCATCTGACCCTGTTATTTAACAAAGTGACCCAGACCCTTCTTTCTAACAAAGACAAGCAACAACTTTGTCACTGAGCTGAAGAAGAGAAGGCTATACGGCACGACACTCACTGAACTAGAGGGAAAGTTTCTATCTTCCTGAACCCAATCACACCAGCATGTGTTGATTTATGACATATATGAAATGTATTCATGCATGTACGTACCTCACACTGTCATACATGGAGCATGTTAAGTTTTCAGGACACCAGGTGGAAACAAGTCTATTTCAAGGACACAGTGTCAGTATGTGGGCTGAAGGCCTAGTGACTCATAGCTTTTTAAATTAAATGATGTTATAAACTCTAGTTGTATTTCCCATTGCCACCAATAAATAGGTTTAAATATTGATCAGAGCTGTAATGTCCTCTGAATCACAGATGCTGCAGATTCCCGGAAGTGACAGTGAAAATATTTGACTATAAAATGAAAAGCCTGACAGACAAAAACATATCAGGCTCCTCCTCCTTTTTTTTTTTGTTTTCAACTCTCTCAGCTCCCTCAGAGTGTCTCTGTGCTTCAGAATCTCTTTCCTTCACATTAGGATCCTGACACTGGTCTGTCCAGAGTTCTGAATTCAACCCAACAGACTAACAGATTATTCTCCTGGACTCCATTTAAATATATAAGGTGCAACAGTGGTGTTTCTGCTCCAGGGTCCTGTTTCTGGAGGAAATCTGAGTGAGTAGCTGCTAACTTTTGGAGTTTGATCTCTTTGAGTTTTCTCTGAAAAATAAAATAAAATTAAAAAAAAAACACTAACCCGTGTGAAAACAGAGAACAAGAAGTACATTCTTCTACAGTCTGATGTATTCTTAATGTCAGATATGATTTTCTATCATATTGTTTGCTCTAAATATATATGTATAAACATATTCTGTAGTCCAAGATCAAAGTGATTTTGTACACTAATTTGTGCACTTTATTTTTTCTATACAAGGACCAACATGGACGATTCATCTGACTCACATTCAGAAGAAATCAAAGGATGCAAAGAAGCACTGATGAACAATGATATTGCTGCAGCAGCTGCAAAGATTCAAAAATATTCAGAAAAACAAAATAATCCCCTAAGTATTGCCATCACAGGGGAATCTGGCTCTGGTAAATCCACCTTTGTTAATGCCATTAGAGGCATAGATCATGATGATGATGGAGCTGCTCCTACTGGCTGTGTAGAAACCACCATGGAGGTCACTGCATATCCTCATCCAAAGTATCCCAANAAGAAGTCAGAAGAACTTCAATGAAGAGATGACTCTTACACATATAAGAGACTACTGCATTCAAGGTAGGCGTCCTCTTCTCATTGTAATATTTCTGTTCTCAAGAGTGTGGTTTTGTGGAAACAATTGTCATAAACTAAATCATCATTTATAATGTTTTCTCTACTCACATTTAAAGTAACCCTACAGATTACCAAATGACAAGATTAAAATGAAACACAAGGATCTAATGGATTCTGTCTGGTGCACATGAAAAACCTGAGACACTTCAGATCTTTATAATATCTCACCTTTAGAAATGAGTTGAGGTATTATTGAGCCAGAGTGATGCATGATGGCTCATTGGTAGGATTCTTTAATGCATCAGAAAATATGCCAAATGATTTCAACATTGAAACAATTCAACATTTTACATCTTAGTCACTGTACCTTTACATAGAGCTGTTGTTGCCTAATTTCTGAAGTTTTTTTGTTCTTCTGCTTTGGTCCTCCTCATTACAAACTAGGGTGAAAGTCGTCATATAATCTTCACAATGATAAAATTACTCTATGAATCATGTTGTATTCCCTCTTCATCACAGGTCTTCAACAACAAGGTATTGAGGCTCCACAGGTCTTCCTGGTGTCCAGCTTTGACCTCCACCTGTATGATTTCTCTCTCCTCCATGAGACCTTAGAGAGAGAACTTCCTGCACACAAGAGGAATGCTCTACTGTTTACCATGCCCAACATCAACCGTGAGATCATCATCAAGAAGAAAAAAGCTTTTCAAGCCAAAATAAAATATTATGCTGGTCTGTCTGCAACAGTGGCAGGTGTGCCAGTTCCTGGGCTTTCTACTACTGTTGATCTAGGAATGATGGTTACTGTTGTTTTGAAATATGTACTTGCATTTGGACTTGATAAACCGTCACTGCAGAGACTTGCTGACAGCACAGGTGTGCCATATGAGAATCTGTTTGCTGTCATCAAATCACCACTGGCTTTAGAAAAAATAACTGTTGATCTCCTCCTGAAGTTGATAACCCAAATGACAGTCACAGGTGTTTTGCTTGCAGCAGAAGAAGGGTCCAGATTCATTCCCCTGTTTGGAATCCCAA